CGGTAACTGTCCTGAGATGTGGCGAGAGAGAGAGAGAGCAGGATCCGGACAGTGAGATTGGGACATATCCACATTGTACACAGCTAATTTTAGCAGAACTCTCGATTTAAAGGGATATGATGAAGTGGACATATGAATTGACAATAACTATTACGACTTTAAAACAAAACGTGAAAACTTCAATTGAATGTTCATATGATTTCGTTTTGAGATAGTTTCCCGTCAGGCACCCGTTTCTAATCTATAAATTACTGATATAAGTTTTATTTGTTGATGACAGTAGCTTTACACTAGTGTGTTGGACTGCTGACAAGCCATGCATGTCTCCGTGAAAATTACCGACAGTGCTTATTACGATCTGGTGCTGGAGTTTACTTCCTGTGACACCCATGGAGATGTTCTTACCAAAGTGACATTTGAATGGTATCTGATACATTCTGAACACAATCCGGGACTGTAAACAATTTGTACTACATGTGCAGAACATCATGGCTTTACATGGAATTCCTGTAGAACGTGTTTGGTATGTGTACTCGAATTCATTCGTTTTCTGTTTATATGTTCTTGAATTTTATAGACAAGTGAATGTTCGATGAACAGATTTTGATTACATAAACCAGCAAAGTAAGTGGCACATTCTATAATCTAACATCATTTCTCGTGTTAAGTGTTACACAGCTGGCATTGAGATCAAAGCATTCAAATTCCTTTGTTTTGTTTCACTAACGCCATCATTCACAGTGTAATCTAAATAACCAGTTCCGTGATAGATTGTGATACTTATATATTCCGTGAAAGAGACCTACATGTTTTAAGTCTGAACGCCGTGACGTGATAAGCCTGTGACGTCACAATGGATCCTGGTCCGACATGGAAGAAAATGTTACCCCTTTCAATTGTTGTGGTGGTTTTTCTGTGTACTGGAGCGCTCGTGTTCAGCGCCTTGGAAGGAGATCCGGAACTGGAGAGGAGGCAGGTGCTCAGGGAATATCTCAATAGATTCCTCAGTAAGTGTTTTGTATTTTAAAGTCTTAACAAATATCAGTTTCCCTCAATCAATGTGTTCTTAGACACATATTTACATTTTTTCCTGCTCATTATATTCTAGCGTAACAACTGTTTGACATAGATAATTTTCTCAAAAAAAAAAAAAAAAAACCTACAGTATCCCTACTATGTATCACTGACAAGAAAACCCTATTTCGGTAACTCCCAATTGTACATCTCCCTGCCTATATAAACTCCTTTATCTTGTACTATGTCTGTCTTGTTAAATCCGTTATATATCTTCACTTCCCTTGATAAACAATAGTGAATTATTTCTAATCCATTTACTTAATAAACACAAGTTTTACATCTATATATGTATAAATATATATAACTACACCCTTCAATATCTCCTAATCTAATAACCGCTTCTCCTATTAAACACCAGTCATGTATAACTACACCCTTCAATATCTCCTAATTAGATATCCGCCTCATTCTATTAAACACCGGTCATATATAACTACACCCTTCATAACTCCAAGTTACATATCTCTACCTTCCTCTATGAAACCCGAGCTATATAAAACTACACTATTCAATAACTCCGAAAGTATCTCCCTCTTTGAAATCGGGATGATCTCTCCACCCTTTTGATGAAACCACATTGGTTTCCTATTCCTATCTCTCAAGAAACAACAGTAAAATAGTTCTATCTCTATTAACATACTCATTTTCACCAATGTACATTGTATTTACAGTTTCAACGGTCAGTAAATGCTGTGTATATAAACATGCCAAGCAACACATAATTATACAGTTTATCTCTATATCCCGATGAAACAAATTTGTTTGTCCTCTTCTCTCAACATATAACAGTTATATAAGCATTATCTGCCTTCTCAGGAAACTGTACCTCCCACGATAAAGAGTTGTATATGTTCTCTACCTCCCCCAGTAAAGAGTTCAGTTACATAATAAGCTCTCTACCTTCCTAGTAAAGGGAACCTCTCACGATAAAGAGTTGTATATGTTCTCTACCTCCTCCAGTAAAGAGTTCAGTTACATAATAAGCTCTCTACCTTCCCAGTAAAGGGAACCTCTCACGATAAAGAGTTGTGTATGTTATCTACCTCCCCCAGTAAAGAGGTAAATTAGTTCTCTACCTCCCCAATTCCATTTCCGTGGGGTAACACAAATCACTCTTGGAGAGACTGCCCCAAATCGCCCATTGGAGAGTTGTACATGTTTTCTGCTACCCTAATAAACAGTTCTCTATTCCTATCTTCTTCCTTCCGAAATTATATATATTTTCTATGTACACTTATACGACCAATTTATATATATATAGTTATATACCTCGTATAATAATCAGTAAAGTACATCATCTCCTTACTAATCTTCTTCTTTCAATGTATCTCCCTCAATACCACTTCCTTTGTCAGTGCTCTTGATTCGTATAGACCCTGCAACATGCCTCCTTTGATATGATATATACCGTTACAGAATCGATCAAAACACAATACAGGACGGTTTACTGTGTAATACCACATCTGGATGATTATCAGCAGGTAAGGTGTCAGATCATCCAATGTTTTTTCTTCCTGAAATATCGTCAATATTCTCGTCGCATTTGCTCGCCTAGACTACCTACGATATGACGTTTGCAGTAGAGTGTTTCTGCCCAACCGTCAATCAGATATCACTATATTTTTGTGTCTGAACTTACTATCAATTAAATTGTTCTTTGCAATACGGATTGTAAACTTTTCTAACTAGTTCTAGTGAGCGTAACGATACTGTTTGATAGACTCTCTGATATTGAGGGAACCCATAACCCTTGCTCCGTCTATCTATTAATCTGGATGATGAACTTGTTAAAATATTCTCTATGATATCTAGGACACAGTACAACCTTCCTGTGTTTCAAGTACAATTTAAGATGAAAATAACCAAAAACTTTTCCTGTGCAGTTGAAGACAGGTGTTAATTAAGACGGCATAAAAACAAGTTTTAATTCATTTAACAGAATTACGATCTTTATTGCTTTTCTGGGTCAACCTCCATTCAGAATCATGGCTGTGCTTTGAAATCATAACCGGTAACGGTGGACGGATGTCTACTAAGCGCCAGACTGACACAGATCATACTGTGCTGTAAGGTATCCGGAAAGTCGTTATGTATTACAATAAACATCTTTCTAATCTAGTTGATTGACTTTCTTCTAATAGTACGGCACAGTTGTTTTATCATGGTGTCGTCGTATTAAGCCAAGGGTAGCCTTTTTGTACTCTATGAGAACGGTCAGTGCGTTACTGTGTACGACTAGTAAAAACTATTTTTTATTATACTAGCATCTACTAAGAAAAGGAGGACAAAACGACAAAAATGTGGTAATTTGACTGAAACCAGAATGAAGTAAGAAGGAAAATCAGGAATCCTCTTGCAGAATTAACAAGCACATTACTTAGTTGCGCAAACAGTGTCCCTCTCTTTGATAGTGTTTTCGTTTAATATTTCAGTGAGACTTTCAGACACATCAAGATTTTGGTTCCCTTCAATTAACATGTTGTTAAACTACATCGATCTTCCCACATGAAGGGAAACTTGACAGACTCTTTGTATCGTTTCAGCCCTATCTTTACCATCATGAACGTTTACTTCAAAACTCAAATAAACTTCGGTGCGATTTCTATTTCTTGATTGTGAATTTTTTATCTGTATTATAACGTCTATGCTCCCCCATATTGGACGCTAAGAAATTGATTTACTGTTCATAAGCGTACCCGAAATATCATTTCCGTGGAGGTAAAATGCTGAGAGGCAAATATATAAAATCATGTTTCGAGAGATTCAGACTGAATGAAACCCTATTTGGGTATACCTCTTAGTCATTAATGAGTTATGGTTTCCGTTCTCCTCTACTCCTCTTCTCACTAAAATAACAGTGTCTAGATAGAGGGTGGGTGGTGTAATGTCCTCTTCCTAAATACTTACAAAATACCTATCTAGATATTTCTTAGAATTCGAATTTTTGACTGTGTACAAAATACACTGATTGGGTGTTAATCTAACAAAAGCTATACAATTCTTAGAAGTAGTTAGACATCGAATGAACCATGATTTGCCAAACTGAACGAGAAACGTCACATGGCATGTCTTGTTTAGGGATGTCATCCTATCATCACAGATAGACAGCGTTTACTTTACAACAGAGTCATACAACAGCAAGGTCATGTGACGACGATATCATTACGTTATGACATAGGCAAGGTGTTAGGATATTCGCCAAATCAGAACACACTATTTTGGGATTTGACTAAGTTGGCGTGCACATTAAGACACACATTTATACACAATCAAAGGAAAACGACGCGGGGGGTAAAGGGTGGGGTGGATGGGGGGAGGGGGAGTGTAAAGATTGATATTCTATACGTCTTTATTTTCCTGTGTCTGATTAGAAACTGTCATTTCTCTATAACGTGAATTAGGTGTTATATTTCATTATTTGTCTCATAATATTTCGTGCAGGGGTTCATTTCATAAGCTTGTCAGACAAACAGTCACTAATGTCTGTAAACATTTGAAGGTCACGTAGACAGCAATGTCTATTGATTCAATTTACAATATATGTATAATTGGGAACCCTGTTATTTGCGGGCAGAACATCACATATTGATATAAACGTTAAGTATCTATAGCGCCAGACAGAACACGACAAGCTGGTGGTAAGATTCTGAACATCGGAGTAAGACATCCGTGCCAAATATTAAATTCAGTGTAGAAATAACGATGCGGACCTAGACGGGATCTTGTTCGTCTTCCTACTCGATCTAGTAATGATTAATCTACCTGTAGGCTCGTTATCTGATTATTTAAATATCTACGTTATACACGGATGATACACTACACGAGCACGTTATATATTATCATCTGTGTACTGCACAAAATGCACTTTAACAGAAAACTGTTGAAACCCAAATTCGAGTGAAGATTTTGTGATAATTAAAGTAGAAAATTCTTTATTATTTGATAAAAGGCTGTAAAGTGTTTTATATGATCCCGGTAAAAGTTACGTGTTTGAATCATTATGTGGTGTGAATTTGTCTTAATGTGATGTGATTTCTCTATGTGATGTGAATTTTTTATATGTGGTGTGAATTTGTCTGTATTTGATGTGAATTTGTCTTAATATGATGTGATTTCTCTTATGTGATGTGAATTTGTTTTATGTGATGTGAATTTTATTATGTGATGTGAATTTGTCTGTATTTGATGTGAATTTGTCTGTATGTGATGTGACTTTGTCTGTATGTGATGTGAATTTGTCTGTATGTGATGTGAATTTGTCTGTATGTGATGTGAATTTGTCTGTATGTGATGTGAATTTGTCTGTATGTGATGTGAATTTGTCTGTATGTGATGTGAATTTGTCTTTATGTGATGTGAATTTGTGTTTATGTGATGTGAATTTGTCTGTATGTGATGTGAATTTGTCTGTATGTGATGTGAATTTGTCTTTATGTGATGTGAATTTGTGTTTATGTGATGTGAATTTGTCTGTATGTGATGTGAATTTGTCTGTATTTGATGTGAATTTGTCTGTATGTGATGTGAATTTGTCTGTATGTGATGTGAATTTGTCTGTATTTGATGTGAATTTGTCTGTATGTGATGTGAATTTGTCTGTATTTGATGTGAATTTGTCTATATGTGATGTGAATTTGTCTGTATGTGATGTGAATTTGTCTGTATGTGATGTGAATTTGTCTTTATGTGATGTGAATTTGTCTGTATTTGATGTGAATTTGTCTTTATGTGATGTGAATTTGTCTGTATTTAATCGGTATTTGTAGATTGCATTAAGTTGTAATAATTTGATGTGAACTTGCCGTGTTCAGTTAAAATGTTATCTTAATTGTTGTTTGTGATAAAAGGAAAGACAGTTTGACGCAACAAACCAGGTCTTTCACTCTGACAATGTAGACCCTCCTTTTACACTGCATCACACTGTGAATGT